GAGCCAAACAGCAATCTGTTCTGCTATAAAAAACACAACGCAGCCGTGGGAAGAACAAAGTCTACAGCCAGCAACACACTTCAATAATACAGCAAGGCAGCACTAACCATAAAAGCAGGTCAAAAGACAGGAATTGTGAAGAGCAACTAGCCAAAAACAGTGGCGCACCAAGGGGAGACCAACCCATAGGGACTGCAATACTAGCAACCCCAAACTGAAGGAAGGACAGTAGAATCACCACACCAGTAACAAATCATTTACAAAACCAAACAGCAAGAAGTAAAGACAACCAGGAAACCATTAGAGCAGCTGCACCAAAAGAAAAGCAAGACCATGTAAGCCACCACGAATCGCAGCATCAGAACACTAAGGGATCACAAACTCGGAGTTCCATGTGGCACAATTGCTAAGCTGTAAACAATAGTGCTCTGGAAGTATAACTTTATACGGTATATCATCTTGCATAGAGCAAGACTGCACCATTCCAACATCCACCATTCAAAACTCAATTGAAGTCTAAGAAACCAATCATGTGGAATTAACACAAGCAATCACAAATATAGATCACTGAATTCTACCCACGGGCTTGAGAATGTCAGCTTGTAAGAAGGATGCAAATCCTTATCATCCCAATCACATTTGAATGCTACTGTCCTTTCCCTTTGGAGGATTGATCGATTGGTATCTTCCTGGACATACCCAAGCCTCTATACTGAGGTCTTCATCCTGGTGGCATTACTAGGTGGATTCCACAGCTTTTCACAGCTTTGCTAATACGCACAAAATGAACTCGGATTGTAGGCAAATAAGGTGGCATCACCCATGTTCTTTTCCCATTTCCTTTCGTGCGTGCCATTCTCGACATCAAATTATGGAAAGGGATATATGACAGCCACACAAAACTCGAGTCTTTCCCTGTTGAATGAATAATATCAGGGCATGCTTCATTGAAGTAAATATCAATGGCAAACTCCCTGATGCAGGGTTTAACATCAAGAAGTAACCTATTTTTGGTCTTTTCGAGAAAAGCACAAAAAGAAATTCCTTTGTTCTCCCAATTGAAATTTTGAGCGATTTTAATAGAGAATTGACATTCGCGAAGATCCTTCAAATCCTTACGATAACTGAACCACTTTGGAATTCCCCTTCCTGGAAATTCAACGTCGACATAAGATGGGAGAGACAAGAGAAAGAGAGAGAAGAGATTGACTTGATTAATGAACATATTTTTCTTCTTTGCAATTCGAACCAGATTGTTACGCAGTCTCCAACAATTAGTCAATCTCATTTCCATGAACATTTGAGACTCTTTACGTTCCAAAAGTTTGGACAATTTTGAAACTCTTTCCAACGAGAAGCAATCACTCACATCTAAAAGTTGCAATGCTCGTGGAAGATCTGGAATTTCTCTAAGTCTCTTGCAACTAGCCAACCAAAGTTCATCCAAGTTGACAAAGTTATTAATGCAAGCGGGAAGACTAACGAAATTGCTTCCTGATAGATCTAGTCTAGTTAATGTGGTCATGCAATCAAGAGTCAGAAGAAAATCGGCAATGTCTGTAAGATTGGATTCCCCCACAAAGAATTGAGATAGCTTGGGAAAAGCTAAATTGCCTCCGTGAAGAGTCACAAGTGATTCTGCACTCCTTGAATCTTCAGACTTCACCATTTTAGGAAATGAAACCAATTTTGAGCATTTATAGACAGAAATTTCCTCTAGGTGCTTCAACTCATAAATGCCGCGTGGCAGATTTGTAAGGTTTTCACATCCGGCTAAATACAATTTCTCGAGACGAGTGAAATGTCGAATTGACGATGAAGGCAATTCTTTGATGGAAGTATGTGATAGATCCAGGTATTTCAAAGATTCCATCTTCCCCTTAATTTCAGGAAAATTCTCAAGACTTATGCAACCGTCAAGATTCAACTCCAGCAGAGATTTCAAGTTGACAATTCTTGGAAACAGAGTAAGACTACGGCATCCCGTAAGACTCAACTCAACAAGCTTATGAAGGAATCCAGCAGAAGGATGAAGCTCAACTAAACTTGTACAATAGTTTAGATTCAAAAACTCCAAGTTTGGGACTCCAGAGAAGTCAGGGGTTTTTCTTAGGAATTTGCTGTGCTCCACATTTATAAATTTCAAACTCTGTCTCACAAAACAGGGAGAAAAAGAGAGAAGATCGCATCATAAGCTTTAAAGAAACTTACAACATGCTAAGAAGAAAGAGAAAAAAATGAACTC